GTTCACTATCAGGCATTTTGTCAAGTTTCCATGACAACTCACTGGTACTCATTTCTCTCCAAGCTAGAGAGAGGGGAGAGAGAATGCAATACAATGACTTGGCTGAGACTTAAACCCTGTGGTTTAGACCCAGTGTCTCCTTTTATTGCGTTCATACTTTCAAATAATTTTTACATATAGGTATTTAATTTGTTGTTTACCCAGGCTGTATATCAAGACCCGTGTAAAGATTATCAGGTAGAGATTCTGCAGTGTAAACCATTGTCACCTGGAGAGATTCTGGGCTGCACTGCTCCCAGAATAAAAGACAAGGATGCGGTCATGTAAGAAAATTATTAAGAAAAACAAGGAAATAATTATATAATTTAGTTCATTGTGAATTTAAGAAAACTGCACCAACTCTTTCATAGCAAGTATTCTTAAACAAATCTTTCTTATTATTTGTATTGGCAAATCTAGTTGTAAGTACTGTAGTGGTTTAGTTTCGTTAAAATGCACCATTAGATCTGAAGCTATTTGCTTATAAATAAAACAATGTTCTGAGCCAAGGATCACTGTAGTTAGGATGAAAATTAGGCAGTTTGTTTGTGTTTTCACCATGTCCGTTGTTTTGTCAGGAAAACCCCATTCCAAACCCTGGAAGAATTGTTTGGCATTCTTCCAGTTGTGTTCATGGCATATTTATTGTTTAGTGATGTTGCCTAGCAACAACGGTGCCCACTTTGACTAAAATAATCATATTTGTTCTGAGGACTTACTTAAAATCGTTTAACCCTTTCATTCCCAAGATCTCATTAGTAATTCCCCTTACTGTCTACCATACAATTCTTATAATGTTGGTTTGGAGAATTTGATATTGGATGAACCACAAATACACTAATTGAAATTTTCCTTTAGTTTCATCACTTGTCTGCTTGATATTGCATTGTTATTGTAAGGAGAAATTCTATCTTGGTCACTCATAGGAGTGAAAGGGTTAATCATTTAATTGGGTTGAAATTGAGTAAAAGTGTTATCAATAACTAAATTGGGAAACAGATAAGTGGGTGTTATATTTGTGATTAATGTGATATTATTGCAAAGATCACTTCCTAATTAAATGCTTGTTTTGTCTCTGTATTTACCATTTTGATTGTAAGCAGTGGCTATCATTTAGGCACATGTCACTGACCACAGCAGGTACTTGTTTCAATTTTTTCACTGGAATGATCTTTAAACTTAAACTTTTTTTTTTTAGTTACCTGTCATTTAGAGGCTGTCATGATTGCTAACCCATCTATACCAGCATACAGGTATACGTAGAGAACTTCAAAAGGCAGATTTTTTTACGTGTAACAAATAGCCTTGCCTTGCCTAACATGTAGCTTCATATTATTTCAATTGGTTGCAGTGCTCAACAGCTAGAGAGGCTGCACAGATTGAGCCATCATTGAAGCCTGATTTTTTCAGACCACTTTCTTGTAATTCTGTGAATAAAAATTCATCACTTTTTCGATTTCAAAATTGTTTGTCTCTAGTAAAGGCATACTGTCTGTGTGCAACTCCTTTTTCTGCAATATTTTGTGATCCCAGTGCTATTTTTTGATAGTAAGCTTTTCATTTCATTCGTATTTTGTTAAGCTGTTTTAAATGCAAGAATATTGATGATTTTGATGAGATTGTTTGGACTTTTGCAATTTAAGTCTTTGGAGGAGCCAAAACACCATCATCACCAAATGTACACAATAAAACAAACCAAGGATTCAATTTAGTTTCAAAGGGTTTGAATAATGGTGGTTTAGGCTGTTTGATGTATTGGAGCTTTATCTCTACAGTGGCAATAAGTTTAGAGGTGGTGTTGCTCATAGGATACATGTCTTTCTTTCCCGAGACAAGAGGCTACATCCACCGTTGTAAAAATTGAAGACTCTTTCCAAAGTATGAGGAAGTACATCATGGCTGGCATCAAAGCATTGAACAAATTTTCCTTTGAGGCTGTTAGGATGAGAGCTTGGAAAGTGTACAGTGTGGGAAAGGGCATTTTTTTTTTACCGGGTCAGTCTCAAAAATACAGTTCTCCATGAGTTCCAAAAGAAAAAATATTTACTTATTCACTAAGTGGGAGGGCTGGACGGAAATATTTTCCTGGACAGGAAATATCAAATTTTTTCCTGTCTAGCTCTTACACACTCGGTCAATAAGCATTTTATTATAAGACCACTAAGTGCTGAACATTGCGCAAATTTTGTTTCAACCTAAATAGGACGAGATAGACGGGTGCACGCGGGAAAACCACCAAAAACGATTCTATAATACAAACTCATCCCTGTTTTCTCGAGTCAGAGCTAGAAAGACACATAATCCAACGAAAAACACGACTTTTTTTTAACGATTTTCCTTTTTTCCTTTAAGTTTTTGCAGCAAAGCTGTGTGAGTGCAAGGCCAGGACGGCTTTTTCCGGACCTGCTGATATTAAAGCTTTTACTATGGTTTTCTATAGGATTGCGCGCGCAAAGCCGTACGTTCATGTGATAAAAGTAATCCAGCCACTTAGCCAGCTATCTAAGGATGTTGGGAGGTTTCATGCGGCAGCATCTCAGCCCCGAGTTGCCTTGAACATAATAAGATAAAAATCCATCGCATTCTGTTAGTGTGAGAGAGATTCGTTGGAAGTGCATTTTTCGAGCTAATTTTAGCCTTTTACCCCAGGGATTTGACGTGGGGGCTCTAATGCCCCACGCATAAGCCGGGAGCCCGAACTACTCTGGATTCTTGAGTAATTTAGTGACCAGGCATGGTTTGAAGTTTCTCTAGTTTAAAGGTTTTAATGAATGTAACCGAAAAGTTACACTTCATAGATCCAACGTTTCGACACTCCCAGTAGTGCCTTCATCAGTGATCTAATCGCTGCAACAAGAGGTCCTTATAAATGATTACTAATTCGCTGCACTTTTTCTGACGAGGTGTAGATAGGCGTCAGGTAATAAGCCGCTATCATCACGACGTAAAGGAGCGTGGATGATTAGTTAGGCATGTGCGCTCCGACAAAGCTGAAATTTTCTTTTTTGCCAAAGAAGAACGCTTTCTGATGCTCTTTCAAACGTCTACTAAGCTGACGTTTGATCACAGTCATTGCACAGAATGGAATAAATAGCGTCGGTTCGTTGTTCTTTCGTGACAGGATCCTTAGGTTTGGCAAAAATATGGCCTAAAGTCTGAAAAGGTTTTTGAACAACTTTGACGTTGCGGCCATTCAAAATTTATTAAATCTTTAAACCAGAGTAGCATCATACCATGTCTGATTGTCCACCTGGTTGCCTTGCGAACTTAAATATAACTTAGTGACCCTTATAAACTGTGAAAGTTTGAAAGAAATCAGCGAGATGGCATGTGTCACGTCTGCCCGGTACTCTCGTGAACAGACTTATAAAAACTTTGGATAACAGAACGAGAACTTGATACCGGATTTTGAAATCCCACACCTTTGTCCTCACAATTTTGTGATTAAGGTGATTCTTCAATTTTGCACTGCGCATCCTGTACTGCGCAGAATGAGCGCCCGCATTTTCCGAGAACACGCTATTGTTTTTCAATCCATGGACCAGGTAGAGAGGTACGATACTCTTAAGCTCTTGAACGAGCACAGTGACCTGATCAGTCCGTCGTCGGACTGGCGATTCCAAACGCCACACCGTGAGAGACAGTAAACATCAAAAAAGAAATATACTGCATCTTTAATCACAATGGGCTACGGATCACCATCGAAGCCAACAAACAGACCATCAGCTTCCTAGACGTCACTTTCAACTTGAACAAAAGTACCTACCTGCCCTTCACAAAGCCTAATACCACACTACATTACGTCCACAATAGTAGACAATAGAAAATGTGGTCGAATTTCGAGATGAATCTGAGGCGGTGCCGTTGAATTTTGAAGCTTATCTGTGAAATCGCCTCAGCCCTCGCTGCGTAAATATCTCCCGAATGACTTTTTTCATGGTGGTTGAACAAAGTTGGCGACATGGGCTTGTTTTGATCTCTGACTCGTTAATTATAGTTGACTAAACAAACAACTTTTAATAACTATTGGGCAAGAATAAATTTTAATGATATCTCCTAGGAGACAGGTGAGATTACTAAAACTCTATTTTCATATCAAGGTTGGCACACAATAACTAGTAAAGAGACCTGCAATATTATAGTGTGATGCACAATCAGTGGAGAATAGAGTACCTATTTTTGTGTTGACTTTATGACCAATTGCCGACCCAACTAAAACACTCTTGGCGGTTCAGGCGAACGCAAAGAAAATGAGAAATTTTCATAGGAATGTGTAAGTTTGAAAGAAGATACGTTATGGCATGCTAAGTTTATTTATCCATTCATTTAATTATTTTTTGCGACTTGAAAAATCAAACGGTTTTTTCTTTTCGCCTTAAGCTCGGTAAATTAGAAGGAATCTAGAACTGCCCCTAAAAAGGTGTTATTCAGACCGGATAAGATTGCCATCAACGAGGCGGAAAAATTTAGTTGAAATGTGTTACGATGTATATTATTATTGCAATTATCATTGATGTTATTCTCATGTCACTATTATTACTGTTGTCGTTGTCTTCGCCGTTGTTGCTATTTTTATTCCTACATATATTATTTCATTGTTACCAACAAACATGATCATCAACTGGAGAAGTTCTTGATTATTAACTGAGTTCTCCTTGTCAGCGCATCAGGAAATATGTAGACAACAGTGTGCAGAAAATGTTTATTAATGTTGAGGTGTATAGGGTTAGGCTAATAGATTAGAGCTGCTATTAATACTCTTATTCTCAGGTGTCGAGTAACCACAGCTGAGGATCGATCAAAGGCAATCAAAAGACTACGATTAAAGCCGAGTTGCCAGTCTCTCAGACTGAACAGCTTATCTCTCCTTTCAGATCGTCAAAATTGATGTGACCCCAAATATCAGAGCTTGAGTCAACCAGACGAAGTTGAGCACTCTGACCAATAAACTCTTTGACATTCTACTTCTTTCGGGTCATTGTCTCCTTACACTGGCCGGTTTTGTTCCTCACAGCCTGTAAAAAGGGAAAGCATATAATTTGTGACTCTCAAGAAGACGCCGGAAACGAAAGTGTAAAAAGATCGCAGTCATTTAAAACATACAAAGGAATTAAAATAATAAGGTCCGAACTTATATAAAGGAAGCTGAGCTTAGCTCCTGACATATTACATTGAAAGTGCAAGTTACTTATTTTTATTCAAACTATAACGAAGGAAGATAATTCATGGCTGTTATGGTTCGTCTTCCTTTGAATCCAGAACGGATTGAAGTGGCTACTATCTCCACCAGTTTGCAGGCCGACTTTTACTCCAGAATATGTAGTAAAATATCCCTAACCTTCTCCATGTGATTTCATTGTGAAGAGTTATGTGAGATGTGCGAGATATTGAGTCATTGGTTTGTCAAATATTCATACTAATGTCCAATCCTATATCTACTACAAAAGTAGTCGTTAATCATCTTTTAAAAACTTTCAAAGCTTATGACTGAGGTCAGTAAATTTGCCCACCTGGCCACCAACAATCAATTCAGCACGAACAACATTTACATCACAACCTCCGCCAATAAGAAATGAGATCGTTTGCCCAATGACATTGAAAGTTGGGGAGGTCAGGGTTCCCTGCGGCCCATCTCCTCCTCCTGATTGGAATTTTCCTGGTGCTGAGGATATGTTAGGTCGGTGCTCTGCTCCTCCAATCCACCAATCTCCCTGATGATTGGATGGCCCTCTGTTACGAGCCGTAGGATTATCGCCATATGTCGGCTGATTATCAAACACTGTACCAGTCCTCTTCCACTCGTCGATTCCATTTTCGAAATCAAACTTGCAAGGGACTCAAGACAAAGAAAATCGAGCAGAACGTTTTGTTTTTATCTCAAATAGCGCTCCTAAGAATAGTGACATGGATATTTCAATGGCCCCAATTTTTCAATAATTAGCAAATAATTGAATGGTACGAAATATACAGATCAAGACATTACAAAGATTGTAGCAAAACAAAACGAAAATGTTAAAGAAACACAGCGTAAGAATCGATGAAAAACGAGGGAAAGGAAAGCAAACAGACATCATCAAAACATAGCTTGCATGCAAGGACGTTTTGTTTTTATCTCAAATAGCGCTCTTAAGAACAAAAGCATGGATATCTCAATGGCCCCAATTTTCCATAATTGGCAAACAATCGAATAGTACAAAATATTTAGATCAAGACATTACGAAAAATTGTAGCAAAACAAAACGAGAATGTTAAAGAAAAACAGTATAAAATCGATCGATGTAAAACGAAAAGAAGGCAAACAAACAGACATCATCAAAACATAGCTTGATTGAACCCTGTACAACCTAACATCAGTATGTATTTTCCCCATACTCTTCCCAGTACATTTCCTATGGTACTGGAAACGAGAATTTGTTTGACATTGAAGAGCTTGTTAAATTGGTGATAATTTCCTTTATTTTCGTGACATGTAAGGGCGATGCTACAAGGAGAAATACAAGCCAGCCACTCTTAGGGATTAAAGGGGAAATAAATATAGAGAATTCAAATAGAACATGAAAGTCATATCATAGCAAGAATAAGGAAAACAGGAAAGCAGGTGAATGCTGTTGAAGCCAGAGAAAATACAGGAGGGTCAAATAATCAACAGATTTAAGTTTAAAAACTAAAAGAAAAAAGACGTTTTAAAGTTACCTCTCTCGCAATTGTTCCCCAAGAAACGTTCTCCACAGAGACAATTGTAACAATTGTTCATGTAATTCGGGATGCAGGTTCCTCCATTTTTGCATGGATTGGAAGCACATAGAGACTGGAAAAAATCAAAGAAAAAGTTAATTTATTGTTACCACCGGTAAATTATTAAAACGGAGTTGTCACACAGATACATTCACTTTTAGGTGCTTTTATGGGGGTAAAATTTGACTTCATTTCCGTTGAAAAAAAAAAGGATGAAAAAGTATCCTTACCATTATAGAGAAATGATGCCAACTTATGTTTTCTTTGAAATTCTCGGCGTTTCTGTACTTATCAGAAGATAACAATTCGCACCAAAGCTTTCCATCTGCTCCTGCAAAGGCGACCACGTTTATCGATAGGCACAAAGTATTTCTGACACATTCAAATATGCAATCTAACAGGTCGTAGTAGGTGAATATTCCAACTCGGGTGACATTCAGATAATAGAACTCTTCCCTTGAAAACTGATGCACTTTAAATGTTCCGTGAAAAGAAGGCCAGTTTTGCTCTAAACTGATGACTCCTGGGGTGAAAACAATACAAATATCAACATTTTTCAAATTATCAAATTTTGAATAAAGAAAATCTCTTTCAGTCCGGGCTAATTTCGTTGATCGTGGGTTCTGATAAAGTCCTTGAGTTAGCGTGGACGTTGAAAATGGCGTCGGAGAACAATTCATAAATTCTCATTTTTACGAAAGGAAGTAACAGACAAATTGCGGGATGGAAAAATATGAAGAATTTCCTGAGCAATGATCTATTTAGCTCAGTCTTCCGTTTTAACTTTGTGCTCCATTTCACTCCAGAACAAATACTTGAAATGCTTAATGCAAATAGTGATAAATCTTCACCTGGAAAATAACTGGTAGCGGTGAATATCAGGAACAACTGGTAGATGAGATGACGCTTGAAATCAGTAGCCATGATGCCTGCATAAGGAATGAGGGACAGGCTACCGTTGCGTGATAAGAGCGACTTCCTGTTTTCATCTTGTTTGATAACTATGGACGACAGTGGCTCGTCATTAGGGACCTTAAGCAAACCACGACGGCGACGGCAACGAGGACATGGAAAAACAATAGATTTAATTAACAAAACAATAGCTCAGCACGTGCGTTTGAAAATTTTGTACATTTCATAGCTGTCCCATGCAAAACAACAACGTGAAATCACCACAAATTGCGTCGTCTGCAAACCGAAACCGCGACGGCAAATTATTGTAATTTTCATTTGGGACTCAACGCTTCTTTTATACGTTATGCTGAAGTTGAGTTCATTTTTTAATTGAAGTCTTCACTGGCGTTGCCGTCCTGACTGCTTAAGGTCCCTATTATGTTCTAGCCAATTACTCCGGCGTTCGTTCGAAACAGGTGCCTAGTGCATAAGAAGCCATAGGACAAATATTCTCTCCAAAACACATTAGAATTGTGATCAGTTTATTGATCGATCCATGTTGCTTTTGTACAGTTCATAGGGAAATACACCCAATAAATAATGGAAATCTTGTTTATTCAAAAACCTCCTAACTCACAACGTATCCCTTACTAACAACACATCACTTAACTCACATTACTTTTATAAAACCTCTCCCTTCTTTAGGGATTAGGAATTTTCGTGCGCGCTAATTAACCAGTTCGGAAGTGATTAGCAGAGTTTGGTTAGGAGTTTAGTTTCTAACTATTATTCGGTATATTGATGAAACGAAAGGAGTTTTTCGGTTTCTGTATGCTTTATACTAAAACAATTGTACCCGTCCACCTCTGTAAATCCTTTCAATTGTTGAATATTATACGTTGCCTGATGCAGCCGACATTTATTGACAAACGCAGAAAGAGTGACGTCATGATCGTGTTCAAATACTCTCTTAGCAACACACTTATCAACCAATAAGAGTCTTCACACTATCTTAAATCTTCTATAAATTGCGATCATATTAAACATTGTATTTTGCAGGTTTGTACAATAATGTGATACTTGTCAAACGCTTATGGGTGACCTAAGTGCATCGACCGACCGATGCTTTAATTTGCAGATTGGATCTTCTCGATCCCAGAGTAAACTTGTGTCCAGTAATCATTGTACTACACACAGGGGTTACTAAAGAGACGTATGGCAACATGAAATATACTTTCTACTTTGATTATTACGTCTCAGAACCCTTTAATATAACACCGATGACAAGTTGGCTTGGGGTGTAGCCTCGTCGTCAGTTCTTACTTTGAGGGATAACATTTGCCCCCTCACTCTTCACATAGAAATTCCAGATAAATGAGTTCAGAGCAGATAAATGAGTTCAGAGCAGATAAATGAGTTCAGAGGGAAAGTCTCATTTCCATTTACCCAGATAATCGGAGGTTAACTCACCGAACTCTGAGTCAACTATTTGGGGGCCAAGACACTTTTGCATTCACATTTCAAACACAGCGGTCAGACGTCGGGCATGCGCAAGCCGGGGATCGATTCTGGCTGGCCGTGCTTCAATTTCCCGCGCAAAATTTCAAAGAGAACCAAAAGAAAAAACCGTTCACTCCCCAAATAAGCAAAAAAGATTAAAAGGTTGATAGAAATCTGTAAAACGGAAATTGAAGAAGGGGAAAGGAAAACTCGAGACTTTTCGAACACAAAGCTATTCAAATAGGGGTTGCTGTTGATTTACCGTTCAGTTTTGTGCATTATCAAAAAAGATTATACACTTCTTAAACACCGTGGCTTACTGACTTGCGTTGTTGTTGGTAACTTCTGTAAAGCGAATTAGTTCTGACGGCCTGAAAGCAAGCCATTGTGTTGATATTGCCTATCTCCACCAAGGAGAACACGCGATCTTTCATTAGGCGGGACGAAATGCTAAAGGCTGGTGATGGACTTCATCCAAGGGGAGAAACAACATTGCTAGTAAAACCATGCTACAGAAACCAAGACTAGCTCCGGCCGGAAGGACCACCAGCCTGAGTATCGTGTCCCGACTTAATTTGTGACTGAGCTAGTCTAACTTCACTCTGAACGAAGCCTATTTTTATGAAGGAGAGGGCGATAATATAACATCTATCTGTCCCCCTGTTGATGTTCTTCATCCTAAGCCCACATTTTTTCTTCTTTGTGTAATATTTCCTCCTTTTTCATATTCTTCTTCAAGTTAAGGGTAGCTTTTCCAGTCGCAAGAAGGTAAACAAAATCAAAGTTAAAACAACGTGACCTAGTTAAGGTAATTTTACTTTGAGGAAGTCCACCCTGCAGCTTGAGAATTTTGCGCATCGGTCACTGTGGCATTTTTGTGCTTTACAGAAAAGATCTTATTGGCATGTCTTATCACCGAAATTTTTATCAGGAATTAATCAAACCACCACATCTTATGGGGAATAGCAAATACCTGCGTAAGAATTTGTTCTCGGGACCAAATTGCCATTGATACGTTTCGTTTCTTGGAAAAAATCGAAATTCTGATTAGGCACTAACTGAGTTGCTCAAAGTTTTTATTATCCTTCCAATGTATGGATCGCCATGCGAATCTCCCCACTAAGATTTCTTTAATTTTCTAACAATGCGGCACTGGCGTCTCTAAATCTCAATTTGTCAACATGAGTAAAATCCCTCAGTTATGTTTACTACTGGAACAATCGGACGTAACAAATGATATCGCCTATGCGTGAATCAGTTCCTTTGTATTCTGTAGCAGTACTTGTTTGATTCCTGTAGAAAGCCGTTGGCCTGTTCAACCTCTGGCCAAAGTACATCCCTTCACTGTTATACTCAGTTTTCCGAACAATTCACACGGAGAATTTTGGCGATAGAAATGTGATACTCTAGTCCAAACCAACCAAAACATAATAATAAGCTCTTAAAAATGATACGTTTTCTTATTATCATAGCAAGTAAAACAAAAGTCTCCATTAATTAAAAGAGCCCAGCCGTACCGATGAAGTACATTTTGGTGATTAAAAAACAAAATAAAAATTCACGGCCACACAGAAAACGTTTACTGTAGACTCGAATTATGAAAAACCCTTCTATTCGAGATCTATTCGCCCTGAGAAGGGCTAACGCTCGAAAAGTCAGCTTTTAAACTCTTTAAGGTGGCCAATTTACGTTATGAACTCAGTCGATAATACTGAATTACTCCGTTGTACTCCTTCACCGACGCAGCACCACAGTTTCTTCAGAAACTTACCCCTTTACTAAGACAATGACCCGGAAGGAGTGGAATGTCGAATAGTTTTTATTGATCAGAGTGCTCAATTTCCACTGGTCGACCTTAGCTCTGATGATTGGGCGCAAATTAATTTCGACGATCTGAGAGGAGAGATAAGCCGCACAGTCGGAGAAAAAGATGACTTGGTTTAAATTAATCATAGTGTTTTTAATCACCATCAATCAGTCCCCAGCTGTAGTTACTGGACACCCGAGAGAAGGATATTTAACAGCCCTAATCTGTTCGATTCACATTACTGTCCTGTGATCAAGAATACAGTATGATTGTTTGCCCTAACTTTATTTGCTCAATCATTTTTGCTGTTGCATATATGATTTTGCTTTCTTCTCTTTGAAGAGAGTCAAGTCCCACATGCTGGAGGACATTCATATCCTGGTTAATGAGTCAATTTTATAATAATATTAGACATAATCTTGCTGTCACACTGCGAGATTTAGCGAAGAGAAAACTAAATCATGTGAACCAATTGCCGAGCAAATAAAGCCTAACACTATACTCACTAATTGAAGATTCGTCATGTAATACTCATGTAGCCGATTGCGAACACATTCTGTAAACTGAAAAAAAAAATTAACTTAACAATATAACAGAACAGAAAGCTATACTAACTTTAAATATTCAATTGAAATGTTTATCAAATAAAATCTACTGCACCAAGATGTATCCGAAAGCTTTGATATGTCGGGGTCCGTTATCTGGTTTCTCATTAGATGCCTCGTTGCCGCAGGTGTTTGAGTCATCGGGATTCCCTCCAGTACCAAACCCTATTCTTGAATTATGACTGCTGCAATACCACCTGCCTTTGTTGTTACCAACGATACCGATTCTTGCTTTTGCCCACTTCTTTTTGGCAGATATTGCATTAAAACCGTCCTTGACACAGTCGAGCTGCAAAGAGGCCTGTGACCCAATCAGCTTCTTCCACGTGTCACGGCTCAACAAGGTTCTGCAGAGTTTCCCATCAGCGATCAGCGAGTACAAAGAGTCGGCCTGCTTGTTGATCACAATGAACCTGAGCTGTTGTCC